ACAGATACATACGTAAAAACACATACAAATGCAGTAGAATCAGGGTCAAAACTTTGAAAGAATAGTTATCGCCGCATGCGCGCGAGCGACGCTCCCCCTCCCCCTCCCCTAACAGACAACACAATGGGCAACGGAAAAAACGCGCGCGTACACGTGCCGTTGTTGCCGTTGCTGCTGCCACTGCCACCGCCCGTTGTCGTTAATGTTGCTGCTGACGCCGACGACAACGACGACGACGACTACTAATGCGATACAGCGACGACTACAACTGTGGTAGTGATGACGGTGATAGCAGCAGCGATGATGCTATGTACACCACCAACAGAGATCGGTCGGGTATATACGCACAAACGCACATATGCTGGCAGATAAAGAAGACCACTACGGCAGGCAGACAGGCAGACCGACAGGCAGACATACCAACAGACGACACACAGACGGACAGAGAAATGGAGGTACGATGATGATAGAGTTATATAATGGTGAAGCAAAAAGCGACAAACAGAAAAAACTGCAAACACATTAAGCCGTCAGGCACCCAAACCGACTCTACCAAACACTCTCTACTAACATCATATAATACGACGGTTGTTAATCAATCAGCTCAATCAGTGAAGTCGAAAAGAAAAGTCACATCGGTCTATATTATATGCGTATATAACCACCATCACTCACCATCATCACCGGTACCGCAGATGTATAAAAGAGGACGAGAACGTTATGAACGGGTGAACAAAAAAAAAGAAAGAAAAGCGGACAGCATTTTGATACTGATAAACAATAATATTAATAGCAAAAATTAAGATAACAGTGATTGTACAGCAGCGCCAATGCCATCAGCACAACCACAAGGCGATGTCAACTTTTTCTACAGTGTGACAAAATATTGTGACTGTAGAATGAAAAAATTTTTGCTTTTCTTTTTACTTCTTAAGGCAGTCACCACTAACTGTCTGAGCACAGTTAACAAGTAATCTATCCAAATGTCTGTTGGCTGTATGTTTGTTTGTTTGTTTTTTCTGTGTATTAAGTGTTCTTACAGAACTCACTTATAGTTGCTCTCCTTAAAGACCGTTCTCCCGGCAAACTGAGCAGGAAGGACAGATGCTGGCAACACTGCACTGGAAATATATTAGACGACCGGTTTTGAGTC